GTACGCGCCCCCCTAAAGCACTTCTAAATCCCGTTTTGCAAAGACTTTAGAGCCCCTACGATCGTGGGAGCAGCGGGCCGTAGGCCCGCAGATCGTCAGTGCCCAAAAGTAACGAATTCTGACCTATGTCTCGAACCTGGGCCTGTAGCTATCACAGAGTGGGAGCTGACAACACCCTCCCCAGAGAGAGCTCGTGGTCTACGTGTGTCGTGGCGTCCAGCATGAAAACTTTGCTTCTATACAGTATGAAATTGTGTAATGAAATTTTTTGCAGATGTATTTGCAGATGTTTATATTTTTATGTACATGCATGTGTACATATGTTGTGTACGTACATGTGCTTGCATAAGTGTTTGTACAAGTATATGTATATGGTTTTTGTACATGTACATGTATATGCTCACGTTTACGTGTATGTGTATTTGTATGTGTTTTTCGGTTTAAGTTTTAGGCTAAGGGTTTGGACGTTTACAGCCATTGCCTTGGTGTGTTTTGAACGTAAATGAAACTTTTAGTAGCTTCTGTTGTTTGTGGAAGTCACGGATGCATCTCTCTCGTTTTATGTCTAGTCCTTGTCATCGTTTCTTGCTGACACCTCTTCCTACGATTTCTTCTTTTCTGTGTTCTTCCACATTTCCACAAATGAAGACAGCTTCGGAGGATTAATGCCGAGTTTTTCGCGTGAGCTCTTAACAAAGCACAGATTCCATTCAAGAGTGGAAACATGTTTCGACATTTTTGTACAAATACGCATTACTTCGTGCAGAGCCAGTTTTTGATTTTTGTTATGTTGTGTAGAATTTTCACGGGAACATTGGTCGTGGAGTGTTTGGGAGACGGAGCAAGTAGAGATTGTGCCCCTTAGCTATGTCATGTAATCAGATCTTCAGCATAGGATCCATGGTCCGGCTTGCCCTCCACAGCTGTTTCCAATATCAGGTCCTTTTGGATAGGGCAGCATGGTGCGTGTCGCAATATGTGCCTTGGCATTGTGCGCCATTGGCACCAGAGCCCAGTTCTTGCCACCAGGAACCACAGATGTTCCAATTCCAAGGCCAGGAGATTGTGGCCAAGTGGGCCCTGCAACATATGTTTATAGAATGTCACAGGAGAAGCCGAACGATTATTTCCCGGCAATCTGTGCGGGCATGGGTGGCGCAGAAGTTCGCTTTAACGACCCTTGCGCGTGGGCCCATGGACAAGCTCAAATGACCGGAGCCCATTTTACGAACATGTGCAAAGGTGCCACGCGCATGATTCACTGGCATAACCAGGCTGATGAGTGGGGCTTTGTTAGCAAAGGACGTCTCATGACTTTTGTGGCCAGCCCGGACGGGCTGCCGTGGCCGAGCTCTACCAACATTTTGGAACCACGTGGTGTGTGGTACTTCCCATCCAGCTGGCTGCACGGACTTATGTGTGTTACGCCAGAGGAAGAAGGTGGCTGCGAGTTCACCATCGTGTTTGCATCGCCTCAGGCTGCAGAACCCAACGGCCACAATCTCGACACCACTTTGGCACAAGCGGACGATGACGTGGCTGCTGCTGCCCTTGGACTTTCCCTGGCCACGTATGAAGCTTCCAGACCTGCTTTTGGCAGAGCAGAGCATTCTATTCATTACAGCAACAGCAATATGACAGCTCCCATTGTAACAGCAGTGGCTCCTGGTGCATGTGATCCGGAGTGCCCACCAATTCACGAGACTGTTGGGGCACCAGCAGCAGTCCAGTCCATCGTAGAGCAGCGAGTGGAACTGCCGGGTGTGGCTGGAGTCACATTGTACCGCATCCGCACAGACCAGTTCCCTTTCTCTCGCACAATGTCCCAAGAGCGTACCGAGCTGGCACCCGGGGCTGTCCGTCCCGTGGTTTGGACAACAGCGGACTCCTTCTTCATGGTCGTGTCGGGCACAGTCACCGTTTCAATGGAGGGTGGCATCTTGGGCAAGGAGGCGCACCTGGCGTTTACGAACGAGACCCTGAAGGCCGAGGGCGAAATTCGGGCTTGCCCCGAAGCAGACAAGCCAGAACGTTGATAATTTGCAGTGCAACAAAACAATTGGATGAGCATTGTAATTTAGGTGCGACATAAGGGGTTCGGCATTCAAAGATTTGTGTGAGTATGTAGCCTGTACAATGTATGGGGCATGCATCCGTTACGTGGCTGGGTAGGCCAGTAAGCGGGGTCCGGGAGGAATAGAATAGACACAGGCTTCGAGGTATGCCCGAATGCAGATCGTGCACGCCGGCTCGCATATGCTTCGCGCGAGACCAAAGTCGCAGAGAACCTTGACCACCCTAGCTTGCCTGGCGTGAAGCCCCAAAAGAATTGAACAAGCCTGTGCATCAGGCCGGTGACGCTGCATACTTCCCCAATGGGCGTGCTTACTGGTTCCGGGAGGCGACCGGAAAGGCTTCTGCAGAAACCATCAATGTGTCCCGTCCTGAAGTGAGGTTTCGTTATTTTCAACCGCGTTTAAGGATTCAAGTTCAGTTTTGGTATCTCGAGCATTCTGCCTGCACTCAGTATGGCATAGCGTTTGCGGGTCAAGGTTGTTCGATGCAGGTTTCTGAACTTGATTAGCCTCCCCCAATTGCCTGATGCAGTTTTTGCAGGAGTCTTTCCTCTGTTTGGAGCCTTGAGCCGTCGAAGTGCCCGAAATCTGCGAAGTCCGACTAAATTGTCATTGAAGCATCGAAGGTGTTCAACGTCGGCATCTGGAAAAGCATTGAGTTGGGTCACGCCATCTCCGAGATGCAGCTGGGATGTGGGTAGTTTGGGTGTAGACAGCGGTTCATACCGGTAGAAGGCCAAAAAACTGGTGCTTGGTCATTGTTGTCAGTTGTCAGGCTGCTTGTTGCCGCTAAACACGAGGGGTTGGGAACAGCATTTTAGGGCTTTGGCTTCCACACGTCAAGGCCCAATATTGTGGTGATGTCCAACCTCCACCAAGCACACTTTGCGAAGCCCGTCCACATCTGAGGGGCCCAAGGATGGCCCCAGCTGGCTGCACTGTGGCCACTAGTGTTTCTGTCTACCAAGCCAGGGCATTGCCACAGTTCGTTTCGCTGAGTCAAACCTATTGAGGACACAACGAGTGCTACCTCACTGCATTCGTCGGCGGTCTTTTGTGTACATTTGTCAGGAGTCCGGTCCTGGCGACCTGAAATTTTGTATTGCATTCCTTCATACTTCTGGGTGATACAGTTGTCGGTAGGTTCGTCCTTTGAAGCCTCGGCAGAGACGATGCGCGACTCAGACCCTCTAAGCTGGATGGACAAAAGGTCGCTGCAGGCCAGCTGCAGGCTTAGTTTTCATGGGCTCACCCGCCGTTTGCCAAAAAAGCTGGCGCAAGCAGCCTCCCGCTGGTAGCTTGTCTGGTTTCGGTCACGGTATGGGAAAGCTGCTGCGTAAAGCATGCGATCTTACTTGTGTGGCTCGAGCCCAGTTTAGACTATCACTTGCTCCGGCCCTTTCTCTTATCCTCCAAACAGGCTCGTGGTCATGTTCCAACAGGGGGCCATGCACCTCGGCGAAAAATCTTGGCGGCCTGGGAAACCCCAGGCTCTGTTTGAGGTCTGAACAAGCCGTAGCCATAACCGTCAATTTCCGTCTCAGGTCTCTTGCGCGACTCCTGCTCATCGTCCCGGCTCTTGTGGGCAGGTATGGCTTTGAGGGCTGTAGGCGGCCTTTTTCAGGTTGTGAAATGCGGAGACCTGAGCAACAGCGGTGCAATCACAGAGCATTCGGTGGGTTGCAACCCTGAGCCGTCAGTCAGCCAAGTAAGGCTTGGAGCTATGTTCACGTCGCAGCTTTTGCATTGAACAGGTGAAGCCCCGAAGCAAAATCAAGTTTACGTTAACAAGATCCTCCTCATCCTTTTTCTCTCCCTGCACCACACACCTGAGCCCTTACCCCAACCACGAGCGTTGGCCAGCACGGTGCCTGACGCCAGCTGCCTGGCAGAGGGCCGAGACTGGGAGGCTATGCTGGTTCGGAGTTCGGGGTTGAGAGACGTTGATTGTTTGCGTGATGCTTTGGATTTCTTCCGAAAGTCTTGGGGGACCAGACCACCAGTCTTTGGCTTCGGAGTGTTAACCCGATGTTGAAGCTTCTCGGGAATCGTCTGAACAGGACAAGAGCATCGAGGATGTAGGCATACGAGGTGTTGGACGGGATGAAGAATGCAGGCCATGCAGTTCCGAGATATAAAGCCAACGTCAATCTGTATTCTGTCGAGAGGTCGAACAGACCGATCTCTTGACAGCGTTCATAATGGGTCTCATCCTGCGAGAAGGCTCCACTGTATCGTCGCCGACATGTGACCTGCCTCAAGGACCCACCCAGCACAAGAAATTCTTCGCAGAATCTGGCCACACAGTTGATGATCATGCTGCATTTTGTGGCAATGGCTTTGCTCTCATGAAGCCAGAAGACCAAGCTGGGACTGCCTCAGCAATACCTCTTGCTAAACTGTGTCTCCGAGGTTTTCTGTTCGACAGAGGGTTCTGTGTGAATCGGCGCGGGGTTGTCGCTTCGAGACTTTGACTTAGGGCTGTTCTGCGAGCCGGTGGCGAGAATAATTGGTGGTTGGGTCGGCGACTGTGAGACCACCTCTTGAGCCCAGTTTCAGCATTGCCTCAGCGCAGATCCCTAGATGTCCCAGCTGCTTGCTTTAACTTAGAAGCTGGACCCCAAGCTACCTGAAGTGGAGGCTTGGGCTGGCCTCGGCAACCGAGTTTGCCGTGGCCACACTGTGGACGAAAGTGATCCCCTCGCAGCTCGACTGACGACTGTTGAAGGTTATGCAGGTGAGACTGTGAGGTCAAGTTGGATCTCGGAGTCTTGCAATGCGTTTGTTTGGGCCTGACTCCTTGAACAGGCAGTTGGACTTCGATCCTGCGGACTAGGACCTAGGAAGCCGAACGTTGACAGAGCCCCTGTGGACGCGCACCGACGCTTCGACAGCGCGGAGTGCGAGGCATTAATTTTATCAACTTGCCGACCGAAGGGCTACAGCTCCAACACCGTACCATGGTGAGGTGCAAACCAAGTTGGCAGTCCCAAGAGGGTCCTCTTGTAACCAACGACTGTCTCGAGTGAGTGGTTTAAATTTTAATAAAGCACAAGGACCGCTGCAAAAAATACACTGCCCATGTTCTATGAGTAAATGATGTTTCCAGCTTCTTGAGCATAATGCTGCATGGTGACCGCACGTTTTAATGTTGCAAAGCTTCACAGGCAGAATCTGAAGCTTTTAGATCCCTCTGCACCACGTGGTAAGTTTAGAGTGATCCCCATTCTCTCGCTGTAAGCCCTTATACGAAGTCGGTACGAGTTCCAGAAAGCCGAAGCATGGAACACGTTCAGTTTTCAGCAAACACGCAGAGGAATTGCAAACAGTAGCGCAAACAAGTGACCTAGCCGTAGGCGGAGTGCAGAGGGATTGCTTGAAAAAGGTTTCCCTGTTCTGGTCGTTAATATGAAGTCTATTTGGGTTTGTTAAACGACTGAGGTTTTTTAGAGAAACTCCGATATGTGTGTGTGAAGCTCGAAGCCGACTTCTGGCCTGAGGATTACAACGTGACCAGCGCCCCGACACTGGAGGAGAAAACGTCCAATAGAATGCATGCAAAGTTTGTCAAGTTTGTCAAGACAAGACTCTTCAGGGTCTGGAGCTTGCGAGTTTGTCCGGGAAGGTCGTTACTGTGTTTGAGGCAAGCAGGCTACGATGCCGATGGACCGTGGATGGCTGTTTCAGGGTTGCTCGGGAAGAAACTTTGCTCGTGGAAATTTTCTTCGTCGCTTCAAAAGGAATATCTTGACATGGCTCTGCGGACCTTGAATCTAGTTGGAAGAAACAAGCCTGGGCAAGAAGGACAGCCACGGAAGAGGACAAAAGACCAGAATTAGAGGCTTCGGGCTTGGGGCTGGAGTGGGAGTCATTGAAACGTTTGAATTTTGTGCCAGGAATGCAAGGCCAAGTGCCTCGAGGACCCGTGCAAATGCAAAGGCCAGCAATGATTTTCTGTTTCGCGGTAACGCCGTGAAGGGACCAGCTGAACCACTGGAACCCGAATCGAAGCTGCACCTCTATGATGATATTGCATGTGGGGCACGAGGGACCGTTAGTGATCACGTCAAGCCACCCGAAAATTACATTAACTAGGGTGGAGAACGAAAGATTCCGCACAGGTGTGGAGTACAACTCCATTTCCGGCCGATGTGAAGTGTGGCATCGGGAGGTGGTGCCAAGAGATGGGTTCATTGTTTGCTGGATGTTGCATGTGAGCTTGATGAGGTCAAGCGCTTTGGGCTCCAGGTTTGTCAGGTGTTGGGGTCCAGTTCCCCGGTGGGTGAACCTGAACCAGGAGTCCCTGGCCATGTGCCCAAACAGGCAGCCCGTCGGCTGACAGCGTGAAACTCCTAGTAGCCTTAGTTCCACAATCCTCCTTGTAAAGCCGCCTCTGCAGGCCGGCATCTCCGCTTGGAGGGAGCCCCAAGTGCAGGGATTCACCTGCCAGAGGTCGGAAGTCGTGGCAGTCTGTTGGAAAGCTTCTTTTGCCGGGCTTCAAGGTCGGGTCCCAGCGGTTCTGGTCAGTGTTTATGAAGAGGCAACTCTGCAGTTGTTGTGGCTGGGCAAAGGTTTGCGGCAAAAGTCACATATTGCTTGTTGCTTGGTTCTGTTCGAAAACCATCGTATCAAATCGTCGAGATTTTAAATATCTTTGCAGACATCCACGCTGGGAGGTTTGGCTGGCCGGCAAAGTACCTGATTCCTCTCGACGGTGGAGCGGGTCGGGCATGCCGCGGGGACACCGAGACTGACAATGATGACGGAGTCTCGGAAGCACGTTCAGATGACGCGGGCTTGGGAGTCTGCTATGAGTCCAGAGTCAATCCCTTCCTCCAGCCAAAGAGTGTGGTTGCAGGTTCACCAAGGACGTAACCTGAGCAGCAAACCAGTCGTGCAGCATTCCATCGGTCGAGGATTGCAAACTTTCAAGCTGGACTACTGCTGAAATCCTGGATGCTCACATGGTTTCTTCAGGGCTTGATCGAGATGGCTGACTAAAATCACTTGAACCTGCAATCTAAGGCTATTACAGGGTCGAGGACGTGATGCACATGGAGGAGCAACCTTTCCTGCTTGGGCAGAACACGCGCAAACAATTACTCCAGACTTCAGGTTTTTTGGCTTCCTTGACCCTTGACCGCCTCTTAGCAGCTCGCTAGAAACTGCGCGCTTTTTTCCATGCAGCCTGCCTTGTGCACGGTGCGGGCGAGTGGAGTACTTGTAGCCTTATGAAGTTCTATTCGGTATATTCCGCGTAGTACAACAAAATTAACACAGGTGAAACAAAGGTAACCTACAGGTGAGCGGGGAAAAGTGAGGTATAGGGCATAGCCAGGGTGGACGAAAGGTAAACTAAAAGTTAATGGGGAAAGTAGGAAGCGAAGGCGAAACAAAGACAAACTCAAGCTAAAGGTAAATGGGGAAAGGAAACGGAAGAAGTGTGGGGAAAATCCAAGGTAAGGAAAAGGTATGTTGCCTGTACAAGACGGACTCTCTTATTTAGATCTTATGCAACTATCGTGCAGCCATTCACTCCTTGAATGCTGAGTTTGGGACTCTGAATTGAAGAATTACTCGCTTTGCACTGTACTCGCTCAGATTTTACATGTGATTCATACTGAATGTTCAGAGATACAGTTTGTTCGCAGCCCAACCCGTTTCGGCTCCTCCTTTTCTCGCCGAGATTGGAGTAGATCTTGCAGCGGTTGAAACTTCATCAACTCAACAGTGGCTTTGGCGCAGTGACCACTTCCTGACAATTCAGCCCCGAAAGTTGCAAAGTCGAGTCTGCCTGCCGCAGGACTGCCGAGCTCGCTGTGTTACGGCCGTGGATTGTGCTATGCCTAGACATGCATTCATGAATAGATTCCGACTCCATTTCTCGCCTTGCAGTGATATGTCATGA